GAAAAGGTGTTGGGATTTTGGTGGAACACCTAATGAAGAAGAAGAAGAAGAAAAAGAAAAGAAGAAAAAAAAAACCTGATGCAAAAAAAGAGCCATGCCAGACAACAAAATGTTGGATGACTTGCAGCATTGTCGTATATACCCTTGGGTGTAGATGTTAGGCAGCCTAGACAACATACAGGGTGATGTTTTATGTCAAACAAACACACACACACACACTCACTCACTCGCATCCCTATGCTAAAAACACTGAACTACTTTTTTCTTTTTCCTGCTGTGATGCAGGTCTTCACCACCTCAAACGTATTAATGAACAGATCTACAACCCACATATTCCATTACTCAATATCTTATTTGTTCAATATATCGTGGTTGGTGACATGATGAAAACTTTCAGTACTTTTAACCAAAGAGAAGAAATTCTAGTTTCTCGTATCCATAAAAGCCAAACGGCTATGGCTCACTAAGAGCTCTCTGATAGAAGTTGACATGGTATTTGTCATAAGCGCCATGAGCCCCTTTTTAGGCGGATTCCGGTGCTTTACAAAATGTTCTTTATTATTATTCTATTAATTGAACAGATTTCAAACCACACATATGCATACATGTACTGTTTAACAGGATGAGTAACATTACAAGAAATGTCAGAGACACACAAATACTGAACCTGTATACATACATTAGTAGATATCTTACCATTGAAAGGCTGTGTTTGGCTCATCTCAGATGCAGACACAGGTCCTGCCACTGCATTCCTTTCCACAGATGGTGACCCTGACTGAAAGCAACACAAACATCTCAATATTAATCAATGTGTCCTAGCTTGACAACAGTGTCATCATAAGTGCAAATGTCTCTGACTACAAGGATATATTTGGTCAATTACGGTTCAACTCACACTACATAATAAGATGATGAAAAGTTGTCTTTAGCTTTTCCCTGTAAATCTTGGAAAGCATATTCATGTACATCTGTATCAGAGATGCCAAGATCACACAAAAGCTTGGCGTGTGACAGTGCAAGCAGCGAAAGCCCAAATTCAAAAACATTGGCATCCGGACATTGGGTACAAAATCAGCTGAGAATAATGTGGCCCACTTTAACAAATCTCAGAAAATCCCAAGTTAGCATTCAAGGATTTCTTTAAGGATGACAAATTCTGATAAATCACATCAATACAAGGCCGTCAATCGCTTGCTTCTCAAAAATGGAGTGGGAGACATACCTTGATCAGAACAAATGCGAACACTGAGCCCCAATGGTGAGGCAGGCGGACCCCAAAATTTTGGGGGATTTCAGACACTCTGTGGTGCGATCTGAGGCAATTTCTGACCACTTTAACCATTTCTTTTAAAGCAGAAGATCATCATTTAAACATCATTTTCAAGTTTGGAGTAATTGAATCAGCTATTCTGAGCTATAGAATAAAATGTAGGCTATTATTTTTATTCGGGGATGAACAAAGTGGAGGGACAAACGATATGATGTCACCCCACATTCAAAAGTCGGGGGGGGGGGGGGGAGGGGTTGTCCCCCACCGATCGACACCCATGCATCATTAACTCCACTCTGTAGGCCCTACCTAAATACAAGTTTGACAACAACTTATTTTCTTATTTTTGAAAAATGCCATAATAAAAATTTTCCGTTAACTTTATTATGGGTATGTAAACTCAAGATTTATGAAAGGGGATGCTTTGAGCTTGATGAAATTTCACTTGCCTGTGAAATTTGAGGTGAACAGTTTGCTCTACAGCAAGGCACGAGAGGCCACAAATCAAGGAAGGCCATGTTAGGGGCCGTGCCACATTAGGAACCCCTCCACTCCAGGAATGATTGCACAACACATTGTTGGCACAACACATTGTTGGCACATGCTTGATGCGATCGTACTGTGAGTTTACTGCAGGAGCGCAGTGCTGAACATAATCTTGTTACAAGGCCATTGGCTGGCCCTGGGGATGAGGGTGTCTCTACCCTGCGTGGCGATATATAATTATGATCTTCGCGTAGAAACGAAGTCGCAAAATTGCATTGCTTAGCCTCAACATGAAACATGTTTCCGTATTCTTGGCCCGAAAATAACCTAAAAATAAAATTTATAAACAATTTAGCATTAGGTGTGGGAGTAACTTTTGTCTAGCGTGTGAGCGTGTGAATTGACTCTGAGGCATGTGACTTGGTAGATCTGTTGTATGTGTCAATGAAACACTTTAATGAAGGGTAATGGACATCATTTGCAAACATCCAACTGCCAAAATATTATGAAATATCCTACTTGATTGTAAGTAAATAATAGAATCAAACGTTCTGTGAAATCAGTGTGCCTAGTATTCGGTCATTTCCTCGCGATGGTTCGGACCAAACCAGAGCGAAAAAAGAATTGCCCATTTTTCAAATACTGCCCCAAATTGACAGAAAATAGTTTAGTGACATGTACATATTGGTTACATATACGTGAATGAGATCCCCCCCCCCCCCCCCCCCCCCCCCCGAGTGACAAACTGGGGATCATACCACAAGAGGGTGCAAGAACAAGGGAAACTTGCTTATGCATTTTCAGAATTCTCTCAAAAAGTACATGCATATCTACTGAGCTGAAATTTGAACAGGTTTATGTTTGAATCATTCATTCAGTCAATCACTCAGGCAGTTCCAATTCACTTTGTCCATGTTTCCCCTTACAGACTTGCAGTAAATTGTGCCATACACATGTTCTATGGTGTGAGCATGACATGTTTATTTCATCAGTCATTATACATGGTAAGGTTCCATACCCTCAGCACCATTTGACTCAATGTCCTATAGGTCCATGGCTAACTATTAAAGAGAAACAGCTACTAGGACCTTATTTCAAATGGCTGGACACAGTCTTTGTGGAACAGACAGATTAGTTGTGCAAGCTTAGATGAAAAACTGTTTTGAAGGAAGTGTGTGGAGTTTGGTGTAGTGATTGACATGCTAGAATACTAAGTATAGAGACAAGTAGTCTGGCAAGATGTCTGATTGCTTGACTTCATGGTAAGAAGTCACACTAGGTCATGGACAACATATGTACGTATATCAACATCACATCAAATTAATGATACAACTGCAACCAGATTGGCACCACTGATGTTTTTCCTAAGTAAGGCAGTCAGAAATATAAATGGGCAATTCCACGCGAAAGTGGACATGGCTGAAAAGTGTAAAATTCATGAAATCTTCAGAACTAAATGTGGTATCAAATAAATGGGGACAACAAGACCTTTTAATTGAGTAGTGTGCCATAGAATGTGACATTTAAAAAAAAAGAGTTTTGGGGGTAAAAAAAAACCTGGTTTGGGAGCTAAAATTATGGATTTTAGGTAGTCATTTTGGCATCTTGTTTCAAATGCAAATTGCAAGTGTTATTGATAGAGTTTGTTTTTTTAAGGCAGAGAGAAAGGTTCATATTTTATAAAAACTAACACACAGAACTTGGAATACCATGATTCAGCTTTTTTTTATCACGTGTGTGAAAGTAATTTCAGATACGTAACATCCTTAATGTTTAATGCAACTGTCTGTAATTATGATGTTGCCATATCAAAGTAGCTTTTTGTAAAATGTCATTGTTTTTATAGAGTGAAGCAGTCTCTACCACAACATAGTTATTTAATTAAATTCTTGCAAGAAACTTCACCGACTTTTAACAATGCATACTGATAAGTCAAAACCTGTCAGAATGCGTAAGTCAAAACCAGTCAGAATGCGTAATGTCCATAACGGTCGTTTACAGAGATTATATCTCATTAATCAATTCACCTAATACTACGTTAACCATGTCATGTTATACATTAAGGCCTAAGCTAGAGTTGTACTGAATATATAAAATTTGCTTTCACTGCAAGTATTTTTTTTTGTAGTTTCAAATTGGTCAGTAGGCTTTGAATGTAACATTTGTAATGATGGAAGTGCCCAAGTGCCAAAAACATGAGAAAGGGACATTGCCACAGATAAAGTACTGTACAGATACCACTGTGTTCACAAATAAAATAACAGATAAACAAATTGTTTCGTCACTTTGTAAATTAAAAACCAAAGTAGTTACTAGAAATGGTTTACTTTGGTTAAGTTGATCTTAATAACCATACCAGTTGATCTTAATAACCATACCAGTTGATCTTAACAACCATACCAGTTGGTGGGATTTTGTTTGTATTTGATAACAACAAATGCTCATCATGTTATATCAGCTTCATTACATTTACAGGCCTTGATTCTGTACTATCAGCAGATATTTTTGGTAATGGCTCTGGAATGCTGCACTAGCTTAACTTGAAACTTCTTGACGGCTCCTTACTAACACTGACAAATAGAAAACTAAAGTCTCCACATACATAAACGCAACTACCTGAAATTCCTTCTTTCAAGAAATACATGTACACATGATCCTCATAATTTACCTATCGGATCAAAGTCCACTTCAGCCTTGACTAATGTGCAGGTTTAGGTCAAACCCATTTGTTCTCAAGGCAAACGGAAGCAAGCTTCCGCTGATGAGATGAATGATTGCACAGAAGATAAAACCACCAATGTATTTTCCATGCAACTGTACATTTAATCACAAAAAAGTGCAGACTGGGTCAAGTGAGAGGCACACACTCAGACCAGTTCATGAAAATATCACAAGAAATGTGTTCAATAATGTCCGAACGGCTAACTATATAAAATCATTCCTGACGATACAAACAACTTTATCAATAGCTCCAGCTTGTATATAACTCAATATCATCTAATCATAACTGAGAATTCTGTGCACAAATATCTTATATGCATTTCTTGAATCGTTGCTTGAGGCAATATCCACTTGACTTCATTTTGAATAATGGAGGAACTTGCAGATGTTATGGGTTCTCTGTAGTCGCGGCACAATTGGTTGCAGCCCCAGTACAAAATAAATACAGGCTTAAATGTGTCACCAATTAAATCTCCGGTAAAATTGAAACAGCGCAGCTGTGCAGTCCATCATTAAATGATTATATTCAAATTAAATCCTGATTATTTTGGAGGTAATGCACTTGGACAACACAATGATGTTTCAGTAGCATAGTAGTCCTTTTAAAGTATTGGTGAGAGTGCATGCACTCCAAAATACACGGGTCAGTTGGATTTCAACTTGTATTGCACAGAGCAAACTAGAAAACCTTTTCTATTTTTTTGGTCATGAAACATTTTTGTTTCAAAAGTCTTCCAATTTTAATATCAGAGCTGTTTGTGCTACATGTTGCTGCCTTGTAATTGTTGTCTAGTGTAATTTCACATTGTGTTGACCACTTCGTGCCGGGTTTATTTTTGCTGAAAACTATTTTTGCAAAAGGCAAAATTTCCCATCCAACTTCTGATATACAGCCTAACCCACAAAGACTGATTCGCAAGAGTCATTTCAGTAGTATTTGTACGGTATTTCTTGCTGAAACCTCATATGTTTCAATACTCCGGGGTGTGCACTGGAGCGTAAATTGTCCAACAAGAGGCCGTGCACAACGGCCAATTCAAGATCAACACACGGTCCGCCTCCACAGAGTTTGTGTATGTGTACAAAAGACACAAGGGATTAGCGTGTTTAGATGTCACCCAGAGGCGCATCAAGGCAATCTTGACATTTTAACGCGTCAGCCGTGTCTGTGTATAAAAACAGCCAGTGCGTGTTATCACGTCCTCCGACGCGAACTGGTTAATGGTACTTATGTATTTAAATTAAAATGATTAAAATTGAAAAAAAAATCATCTTTGTGATGAAAAACGAAATTCTAACATGATCCGAGTGAAATAGAGATGAAATAAACTTTTTTAAGTTTATGAATTACAGGAGATTTTATAAGTGCAGTTAATCTATTACGACAAGTAGAACTTAACAGAGAATAGACACAACAAAGCCCCGAAAACTTTAAACATTAAATTGGTTTGGGTTCTTCCTGCGTATTTGTTACTGTTCCCATGCCAAAATTTGAGGCCCCTAAATTTGTCCACGATCTACATACAGTTACATAGGACTTGTCTTAGGTGCACTGCTATCATGTCTGTGAGCAATTTCTCTTTCACTGGAAGGCACGTGCTATACTACAAAGCAGAAAAGGTGTACGCGTTTGTGTTCACGAAATGAACAGATCAGATAACAAAGTCATTTTCCCCATCCCACACAATCGGCATCGCGTCGCATTGCTTTGGCCTCCGTCAAGTAATTTACTATTTTAGCGCGCGAAAATGATCTGCTTAGGTCAAATGTTATTGTGCACAGCACCCGTAACATGTGACATTCTGCTAACCACTCTCGACGAATAAACGCTCTGGCCTTTGGTGTTAAAAAAGTCAAAGTGGGAACACATCGTAGACTTATGTGAAAGAATGTTGCGGTAAGTTTTCGTGTGGCCGCAGAAGAAAACAGTCCAATGGGAACAGGGCCTAGTATCCATATCAGAAATGCAGCATTACAGATGTATCCCTCTACACTATTGGGAATTTTAATTAGGAGGAGCCAACTTAACTATCTGTCTGGTAAGAAAGCAGCTTCACAATAAACATCTTTAGAGTTCAGAAACACCAAGTCACCAAGTTCAGCTACTCCCTTTATATTTCTGGGTTAAGTCTAGTTTTCCGACCATGCAACAAAACCAAGCATCTTTGAAAAACAAACTGTCATGCCTGATATGGACTTAAGTCATCCATTCAATGTCTACATGAAAAACAAAACTCAAAGACATGGAACAGAAATCACAGGCAGTAACAGAATGACAATAGATTTGTTTTACCCAATAGCAGTAGGGATAGCCATAGTAGCGCAGTGTAGGATGAGGTGGGGGTTGCGGAATGTTGGAGTCCAATGGAGAGTACCACATTGTAATCAAAACACCTTGCAGCTGTATGTCAGGTTCCCCGGTTAGCAACTATCAAGTCCGATAATGCTCTGCAATCTAAAGCTAAGCCCTATAAGCAGCATACATGACACTCAACTTGAGTGAGATGTGTTTACTATCATTCACAACATGCACTCACTACTATAACAGGTTGCGAAACTTTGCTAATTTCAGAACTTACAAAGGGTCAACCTATTTAAATAGGGGTGTCAATTGCTTGTGGCAGGCATTTGTCTGTTCTCCTTCAAATGATAACTATAAATTCACACATTATTGATGCTTTATGGCAATCGTTTTTGGGAACAATATACTTGGTTATCCTTTTAGAATGAAACTTTGCAATCTAAAAACCTCTTTTTGAGTATTTTCAACTGGGGGAAAGTGGTACATTCCCAGTGATAAAGCACCCTACACACCTGCACCTGTAACTTTCATTTCCTCCTAGATTCAGTAAGCGAAACAGGAAAATAGAACAACACTTGTCCCAAGTGATCTGGATAACTAATTTCCTACTCTTTAAACACAAACACGCATACAAACACGAGCACACACCACACATGTTATCCACTAACATTCTGCAGACTTCAGGAAATTAAAAGCAGGCCAGGTTCAGGCTGAGTTTTCCCAAAGTCAAACCTTAGAGGAAAGTGGAGCTGTTGGCTAGGAGGTTGGGGACCCAACAGAGACAACATTATTACTCTACTCATTGAGTGGGACTTAGCCAATGATAGTAAGCTATTTGCAGTACAGGTTCCTTAACAATTATGGTAAGAAAGAGTTTTATAATTATGAAAATCTCAGCAAAGTGACTGAGGTTGGTGTTCTTCATATTAGGTTATTTCCAGGGTTACTCGCATTACAAGTTTTTAAAATTCTATAACATACCGAGTGGAGTGGTCTTCGTATTAGTTGGATTCCCCCTCCCCTTTTACATAAACATAACATTTATTCAAGGTTCTTCCCCGATGACAAAAAAATGTTCTATGTTCCCTCATTTTAGCATGGCACTCTTTGGAAATGTGGTTACTCACATTTCACAAAGAGACATGGCAGGAATTATCTTTCTTTTAATTCAGTAGTTTACTTAGGGTGAAACTGCAATAACCAAATGAGTAGTTTGACAGGATATGTGGACAGTACAAAATATATACCAAAATCAGGTAAAGATGCTTGAAAGAAAGAGGCTAGTTACTTACATTACAGTTACTCACATTACAGGTTTTCTGCCCATCTTTGGTACAAGTTCAAACATATAAGAAACTAATGTTCAAACAAAAACATCTTTTGGCATAAAATATTTTCTCTCTGGCTTAACAAAAACTCACAACACTTGCATTTTGTATATATAAACAAGGTGCCAAAATGGCTATCTACATGTCAAATCCATAATAGCCTCCCAAAAACAGTTCTGGACTAAAAATAAACTTACGTATATTCATCTCACTGGCACATCACTCAAATGAAAGGTCTTGTCCTCCCCTTTATTTTGATAACACATTTGAGGTTGTGATACTTGTACTTCCTTAGATTTAATAAATTTTCCAATTTTCAGCCGTGTCCACTTTTGCATGGAATTGCCCATATATTTATGCATATTAAAAAAAAAAGGATTATTAGTTAGTTGCATCAAGAGGTATGTAAGACAAACAATCACCCCCCCCCCCCCACACACACACACATATAACAAAAACAAACAATACCAAACCTTAAACTGAAAAACAAACACCAAAAACTGAAAAGATAATTGTTTGCTATTGGTAATTTTATTACTTTGGGCATCATTTGTAAAAAGAAAAATCAGTATTCTCACTGATGGAAGTCACAGCCAAGGTGGGCACAGGGGAAAGAGGACAAAATAAGATACAGAATGAGTGTATTATAGAAAATTCCCTTGAGACTGACCCGATAGATAGCTTATCCAATGATCAATGGACTGGAGTTGCTTGCAAGATTCCACACATATGAACACTGCAAATGCCTTAGATGATACCAGATAGCAAGAATGGGTGATTGCAAGTAGAGTAGTAGTCAGTTCCTTGGCTTCACCTCTCTCCCTCACCTACAGCGTTCCTAACCCCTCCCTCACACTTCCCCTGGTTAAGTGCCTGGAGACTTGACCAATAATTCAATTCCGTCTTTTCCCTCAACCAGGCATGTCAAATACTCTTGAGAATTATCAACTCTGCACAAACTTGACAGAATCTGGCAATTGTTTACAGACTGCAGGTTTTCTATTTTTCAGGGAGGAAATCAGGTTTGAAAGGAGTTATGAAAAGGGGAGGATGTAACTTGTGTTTAGTGCATATTAATAGAAGCTAACAGCGTCCCAGGGGTGGCCAGGTTTTCTCCATTTTGACAGATTGTTCCTTACCAAGCAAATTACGCTAAATGCTACATTTCCACTTTGGCATTCAGAGTTACTAACTGTGACAACTAAGCTTTGAAAAACAGGCACCCATGTTTAACATTAGATGTCTATCATCTAGAACTACATCACAATATTTGTCAATATGACTGCAAGTATCCTTTTGAATGCTTATGTTTCATTTTGCAGAATACTGAGAAAAAAATGTTTCCTTTAATCTATTCAGTTGTACTCCCTACAGTTGTTTTTATTTGTAGTTGATTGTAACCTAACACAGCCATGTGAACCTTATTACATTCCAGCAATGGAAATACGAATCCTATTTTTTTGGTGCCATGGGCTTAATCAATTGGGGCCTTCAGACACCGTTTTAAATTTGCTTAAAACACTAGTTGAACTCAACTTGGTGTGACTTTTCTGCTAAATGGTGTCTGAACGGTTGTAATGTTACACCGTCTCAACTTTATCTTGCTGCCAAAGCGGTAAGTTAAAACACCTAGAAGGGGTGTTGGGGGGTGTTGGAGGGGGGGGGGGGGTAGTGCTAACCAAGAATGGTTTTATTCAAATGATGTCTGAATGGTTTTTAGCTAAAACACTTCCTGTTTTAGCTGGCGCAGGCAGGCATGCATATGCTAGACGACTTTTTGCTATGATGCAACCTGCTTACGTGCATACAAGTGCAAATATCATTTCTTGTCAACAACTTTTCCAGGAGAATTATTAGCAACAAGAAAGCATTTACATGTACTTAAAGGAAAAAGTCAGACGTATAATGCTTTAATAAAAAAAAACCCGGAGAATTGAAGTCACGAAGGGAACCATGGTCCAACACAGTCTGTACGGTACTGCGTATGGCACGGTATCAGCGTGCATGGACTGCCATGTTTACCACTTGGGCTATGACGTCAACCACGGTGACGGAGAAAGGCTCCAGACTGTGTGCAACAAACTGGGCAAAGGACCAGGTGAAGGCTCATACACTGCACGGTGTGGGCCAAGGCGGAAGTTCTACGTGAACTCACAAATGGAGGTAAACCTCTTGGAGTTGAACCTGAATTACTTAATTGGTGTCTGAACGCTCGGTATGTTTGAATTTTATGACTGGCCACCCGCGGTAAGCGACCGTTTTAACTTTTACAGTTGAAGCTAAAACCCTGTCTGAACATAGCCTATTTTAAAATAAGCAAAATTACATGTAGATATATTACACAGGTAACAAGGACATAGCAATAAGACATTTTAATTTTCAGCTCTTTTCTTGAATTTTAACAATGAAAATGATAGTCAGTGTACATCCTTAATTTACAGTTGACTGTCATGAATACAAATGCTTCCTCCCATGCAATTGTACTCTTATTTAGAAAAAAGTGTCCTGAAATAAAGCATGATGCTTTGGATTAACATCTTGGTTAATTGTCTTGTTGGGTACATGTTAATGTGACAGAAGAAAAACCTCCTTTTGAATCCATCCATGAAGCATAACAGCTGTCTTACCATGTGGGACTCTATATATTGTCCGGGTGGAGCAAATGATGGGCCAACGTTGATTGCTGCTGCAGCACCTGTATGTGCTGGTGGTGGCACCATGCCTGATGGGTGATTAGGCATGGCTTGAAGAGCTCCCTCGGCATGTCTTTGTAGCACATTAATTGCATCATCAAGTCTCTCCTCCATACGACTTTGCTACGTATGGTAAGAATAAAAACAATTTCCACAACATGATGAACAACATTCAGGTAGGACTTCAAACAACTTTACATTAGGCGGGATTCTTTCATTAATGTTGGCAAACCTGGTACTTTGGGTTCCTTCAGTATTTTATATAAGCAAAGAGAAGAATTTTGGAGGATTTTGCATCTTACCAGTGAATGTAGATGGCTTTCAACATAAGGCCCCGGTGATGCCTGAGTGCTTGATCTTGGCCAAGGTCCTATGTAATGCATACAGGAAAAAAAACCATATAACTGTGTCTGTGAATTGATTTATAAAATGACTTAACATTTAATCAAAGTTTAAAAGAAACATTAAAACCAAGAATGTTTTAAACCTTTCCATTCAAATTTTTCATCCAATTCCTTTAGTATAAGTAAAAAAAAAACGAAGACAGTTGCAATGGGGAGCAAATGCCACCCCCCTCAGGCGCCGTCACCGACTGCACTTAATGTATAATATGAACATACAGGCACTGAAACTGACATCATTTGCAAAGGATGGTATCAAAAGATCCTGGATAACTTTCCAATTATTGGTTCTGATTTACAAATGCATACATGGATTAGCCCCAGTTTACCTCCAAGAATTGATCTACAAATACCATCTTCTTCTCCAAGAAGTTAGAACCCTCCGCTCTAGTTCAAAAGAACTTCTCACTCCATACCCAGTTATCACCAAATCATACGGTCAACGTGCCTTCCAATTCACTGCTCCCTCCCGAACTATGGAATGATTTCCCAAACCATATCAACAACTGTCTCACCTTGGATCAGTTAAAACTACATCTTAAAACTCACCTGTTTACTTTCACAAGCGCATAACTTAATTGTATTATGCGCTATATAAGAACTGTTCATTAGTATTATTATTATTAAGATCAGAAAGGTTACTCACATGCTTTAAAAACCTCTATAAAGATAATTTCAATTTGACATTACTTTTGCTAACATATTTAAACTGGAAAAAAATCTGATTTTAATCTTCTTCCAATCTTTCTGGAGCCAGTTCTGGTTCTCAAAAAAGAACCAGAAGGGCAAGTATTGGGTTCAATGCTCTATCTGCACGCCCCGTGGCCGACCGCAAACTCAAAAAGGGCTCTATTGAGCTGTTTGTCTCCGACTTGTGAAATATTGTTTTGACTAGCCGGCCCGAGTGAATGTCCCGGGGCAGCGCCTCCGCGATTGATTTCCTGTGGAGCCGAATCTCAGCTTTGGATTTTGTGCACAGAAAATAGGTAATTTTATCTGGAACTGATTCTTTTGGGCCCGGAACCGACGATAGCGGGTACCTGGTTCTTGAAAATATTGGACTCGCGGTTCCGATTTAAGCCTGTTCGGTATGACAATATTTCATGATATTTCGATTTAATTTTCATATCAGAAATCGTATCGATCTCTAAAAAAAAATGGGCACATCGTGGAATTCGATATGCCAAAAAATATCGCGATATTCTTTTGTAGTACTGCTTTTGTAACCATTAAAGTCAACCTTTTGAGTTCAAAAAGCGCCGCTAAAGTGCTCCCATGAAAAACCGTAAACCACAAATTCACTGTTACCGCATTGTACCGCTAGGTCTTACCTATTAAGGGGCGGAACCAACTGACTAACGTCACGTATATTGGATTTTGCGTCTTCCACGTGGCAGTACAAACAACACAATCCAGACCATCTTTTTAACCGATTGTTCTCAATTTCGCTCCACATACCAAGTGTCAAAACCGTAATCACGTGCGTCTAAATAACCGAAGGGAAACAAAGTCTCTGACATTTCGCAAAGAAAATACGGTGCCTGTTTTGTTTTGACGGAAATGTTTCATACAGAAAACTGCTTATTCTTAAAATGATTCGATTGAGGTGATTTTTTTCCGTAAGGAAGTTGAAGTTCAGCAAGGCAGAACAGAGACATATCACCGTGGATACCGCACAGGTACTAGTCTCTGAAAGAAATAGTTGAACGAGAAGTTGTACAGACAAAACACCGCAAATAATTGTAGATTATGACGTTAAGAAGTAAACATGTTTCGTTTTGGCGCGCGGCGCCGCAAAGGGAGACCTCGCCGGGCCCACAAATTTCCTTTTCTCAGCCCAAACGATATCCGCATATGTACGTATACATGGTTGTTAAGCGCCCTCTACGATACTTTTATGATACGTACGCACTATATAATTATTAGTTTCCCCATGTTGCGGCGAGCAGTGCGACAGCTCAGTCGATACAGATTTGTGTTTTTACACCACGAGGTTGCGGGTTCGATTCACGGTTTTGCACCTGCATTTTTTTTTCTAACCTGAGGCTTGGGAGGATTTTTATAAAAAGGGAAATAAAGTCCGAATTTCATATATTTATATATTTTAGATTTTCTTCTCATGTTTTTAGAAAAGTATAGTCCAAAACGCCATAGCGTATTGCGGATGTCGTTTGGGACAAAAAACATTCCCCGCCGGGCCGACTCCGGCGAACTAGATCAAATTTTCCTGCAGGTATTTTCCTGACTCGTTCCGTCTCTTCCGTGCTTGTGCCCGGGCACTTACACTTGCTTAGTGCCAAAACTGTGCTAAACTTATGAAATCAGTTCATATTTTGAGAAACAAAAAACGCCGAAAACCAACTGTTCAATCGTGACTTTCGTTCAAAAAAAATCATCACTAGAAATTAGACGGATCCATTAATATTTGTCAAGGGGTGCTTCACCCTCTTTTTGGAGTTAACATCGTTTTTCGAAAAAATTCTTTAGAAAAAAAATATTTTGTGAGTTTGTTGCGATGAAGGACTTTTTCTGAACAAGGAAATATTTCGGACTCCATTAAAAAAATATTATTAGTAATTTTGAAAAGGTGGAAATACTGGTAAATTGTTTTCAAGGAAGCACACCCTTGACTGCAAATGGTGTGGGCTGTACACGGTCTTACTATGACATGAGTGCACGTGGCATCAATGCAGTGTGCATTGCGTGCTAGTGCTTCGTTCTTTCCTCGAGATATCTCTAGTTGCACATTTTTATCAAACATTTCAAGGTAATTTTTTTCTATATTTGAATGTGGAATTTGTTTTTTACTGAAATTGGCAAAGTAAATGAGACTATAGTCAAATAAAATTGACGATTTTGTTCAGGACATAGGGCCTATTGGGGTATTTTTCGCGGCAGTGGATGGTGACTTTGGTCGTGTTTTGTTGTTGTTATTCCATTGTTCCATGAATGGAAAAATGACGTCCATCACGATAATATCGCGATATCCGATATTTTTTTCACGATATGCCGATTTAAAAATAAATATTGAACAGGCTTTATTCCGGTTCCCATATTGGAACCGGTTGGAACCGGTTAGAACCTGGGAACCTGGGAACCGCGCAAGCCTAATTGTTAGATACTAAGAAGTTGCATCGGATACTTTCCAGGTTGTTATTCCACAGATTGATATTTTAACGTACATAACTGAAAACTGCGCAACAAATGTAACTGTAATGTGTACCTGTACGGTGCATTCCAACAAGTCATCCCAACAAATAGGCTACCAATTAAAATAAAATTGATGAAAGCTGCAGTTTAACTACTGGTTTAACACACATATCAACCATTATTCCTACAGCCGGAAAACATTGTGTTTACAGTAAACTGACCTTCCTGGATTTCTTGTGACAAAATTGCCGACCTCGCATTTTTTTATTGCCTGACTTGCTATTTTGAGAAAGAATATATCTTCCCTATGCAATTTGTTTGTGATACTGGTTTATTAAGGGAATAAATGTGCGCTCGAGAGGTTTTAATCACTCTGTTTAAGACTGCTTAGAATCTGGGTGCTGAGAGGGTAATTATCAGCACCCAGACTCTAAGCAGTCTTAAACAGAGTGATTAATACTGACCGAGCACATATTTAGTCCCATTCATAAATACCTTTTCGGTAAAAAAAAAATCAAGTAATTCGTTCAAAAAATCCTGATTTTGATCAACAAGTTCACTCAAGCTTTTTGAAACATCCCTCTAGCAAAATAATGGAGTGTTCAGCTGGCGAAGTAAGATGTAAACAACCCTTTTATGGAGATCGACGCGCGCGTAGCACGTTCTGCGCGATGTCGCGCAGAACGCACCTGGGGCGTTGCGTTTTGAATTTAGAACTATAAAATTCGGACTCACTGGTAGTGTTGCGCATGCCTACATGAGGATTGTGACGGTTCAACCAATGAAACGGTAAGAGGCACTGGATTTTTAGGAGTCCACATTTTATGTGACACTGGAAAAGTGTTTAAGACCAGCTAGCCATGTCTTTATCATCCGTTTAAGACCGGCCACGTGACAGGCTCTCGACCAATAGGAATGGCTAAACTGTCTGAGGTATTTATGAATAAACAATTAAACAGATTAATTAAACAGAATACCGTTAAAGGTACCCTTAAGTAAACTAAGTACATGTAAGTATAAGAGACTGCCAGACAAACATAAGAACAGTTACAAATATAACTATTTTCCCTACTTATCTGGATAATTTTCAGGGCATTACAGTAAACACAATTTTTGTTTGCCTAAGAGTACCCAAATACTTTTTGTTTTTAATTATTTCCACATAATGAATTCTACCTATTAATTGACTTAACTGCCAAACTCATCTGAAATATGTTTGTGCACATAAAAAAACAAAAAAACCCTGATAACTCGGAACTTTAGCCTACATACGACTAGTACTGAACCACCTCAAATTCAACGACTGGCTTTGTTGCTGCTATTTAAGCTGACCAATTTTAAAGTTCCATGGTACCCAGTCAGTTTCCTTTAATCTTTTTGATATTAAAGCCCTGTCCGCACTGGACTTTTTTTGGTCAAACTAACCGAGACTATGGGTACTTTTCCCATTTTAAGTCCAGTGCGGACAGCCTAGGACGTTTTCCTCTCGGTTACTTTTCCTGAGTCCAGCGGTTACTTTTACTGGCCAACTGCTGCCCAGGAAAACTTCCCACGCGCCCAGGAAAACTGACCAGGTCACTTTTCCCGAGACGATAAGTCCAGTGCGGACAGTGCGAGTCGGTAAAAGCGGCTCAGGAAAGCGTACTTCCAGCCCGAGCGCCATGTTTTGCATACAGAGACCGCACGAACCTCAGTGCACGTGTGGCCGAACATTTTGTAGAAACACGCTGCGCCGTGTATCATCAAGTCCGAGCGGTAAAATCTCGTTAAAATATATATTTCAACGGACAAATACATACACAGAGAAGAGAGATCACGTTCTGAGAATTAATTTGCGGAAATTCTCTTTCTCCACCGATGTATGTTATTTTCTACGATCCAAATTCGTCCTGATACGCTACTGTAGTCATGCACGGAACATCATGGTCCGGTACCGCACGTAGGCTGTAGTCACTGGTTCCTGGCCCACATCATAGCTTCAATTCTGTAAGCATGCGATGGGAACCAACGAATACTGATGGCACTGCTGCCGCACGGAACATCGTACAGCGGCATGGCTTCGACGACGTGCATCACAAATGCGTCAGAATTACAGGCCTTTTCATCAAGATTTAGCGTGTCAAGATGAAATAATATCGTGTAAACGATTATGTTGTGCATGCAAATGGCGTGTGTAATATTACTGTGCGTATCGGCGGCTGAAAATGTCATCGGCAATTTGTTTTCTGTGTACGGTGAGTAATTATACTGACACTGTGACAGCTCGGTTACTTCTCCCACGCGGTCTGGGTAAATTTTCCCGTGTCGAAAGTCCAAGTGCGGACAGTGGTCACATTTGACCATTTCTCATTTTACTATCGTCTCGGTAAAACCTTCCAAAAAAAAAGTCCAGTGCGGACACAGCTTAAGACGATGCATCAGACTAGGGAATCTATATCCACATAGTCACATTGATCACTTAGTGTATACTTCATTTATTCACAACAACTAAAGAAGACCTGCCCAAATCATTCCATAATAAGCACAAAAGTCTAGCATAATATAGCTTGCTCCAAGTTTAGCAGAGGATGATTACTTTGCTACTGATGAAGCAGGAAATTCAATTGATTCTAATTCTACATGTGCATGTACTATAAGCTGAGCCACATAATTAGGGACTGCCATATTGTGTCTTCAGTATGAAGGCAGAGTCCTTTCAGCATACTGAATTCTCATCTAGCCCCTATGTCAGATTACACACACCAATTCCAGGTGATCATTCCACGCTTATGTGGCCATCAATTGCCCATGCAGCTAAACCCTTGGAAAAACAAGAACCCAATCTACAAACCAGCTGTAGAGTGGGACAGTCATAAACAGCCCTGTATTCATGGCAATAGTTTGGTGTGCAGCTCAAACAGAATGGAAAGTCATTATTTCTAGTCTTGACCTTGGGACAGTTTGAAAAAAGTGCATATGGAGCCATGAATAGATCCTAAACAGTCTGCTGGCTTGATGGACCATCTCTTTACGATGTTACAGGGTGTTGGCAAAACCTTCCACTGTATGCTTGTAGATGAGCATGCCAGATAAATCTACCATATTTATCAATGTCAATGGTACAGCACCAGAGTTACATGTATAAAAGACAAATAACAGTGGTAACTTGTATGCTTTATACAGATATTTTGGGCTTTTTTCTGGGGAAAAAAATTGGTATATATGCAGGTGCACCAAAACTCCTTTCACAAACAAATATCCAAATCTGTAAGAAACTGATATATCACTAATGGCGTAAACTGAACTTTTCAGCTAGGATCAAAACGTGAGGACCTCTAACTTTTCGTTTTGTATCTTTCAGGTCAAAGATAAAAATGAACAAAACTACTGCAAACTGGTAGTTTTGCATCAATTTCGTTCATTTTTATCATAAAAATAAATATCGCCAAAAAGCAAACTGACTAAAATGTCCTATTTATACAAATCCTAATATTGATATAATTAGTAGAATTTGATGATTATGGTCGGTATGACAGACATATTGTTTTGTTCAGCTGTAATAGCACGTGTAAACATCAGTACATTCTCATTTTTGTATTTTGTAAGTAGAAGCCAAATACAATAATGGTTAGAGGACATACTGTGCTTGAATATGAGAACTCAATTTTAAAAGACAAAAACCTGAGTTTCTCAAATGACTGAGACTTCAAATAATACCAACTGCAGCAGCAATTTCAAATACCAGATGTATTATCCTGTTGCAAAATACATGTATGTTGTCACAAATCACTAGCACATATGGGAAATTTGAATTGGTCATCATTCACCTTAGACCCAGTGTGGTATCTCCTTGGCAACTTAAAGCTATAGTCCATCATTTGCCGCCATCCGAAAAGTAGCTGGCGTAATTATTGTTGAAAAACATACTTGGTTGAAAGATAGTAAGGGACTAAACTCCCTGTGAACTTATTCTTTCTGGCAAGCTGTCATGTTGAAGTAATCAACAAAAGAAGGCCTTTCCAACGGTGCTCCTTAAGACGCACCGTAGGAAAATTTAAATTAGTAGTTCGTTTTGTTATTCGGCGAAGCGCGCGCAAGCATTGGCACGACGCACACGCACCCCCGGTTGCTATAATTCGTCAGATCAGTGCGCGACATCGCGTAGCTGCATTCGGCTCAGCGAGAACGTGTCTCGGATGCTGAATTCAGGCGCAATTCAAAACATGATTCAGCAACTTTTGATTTGAAATTGAGATCCTAGAATGCTGTTTTTCTCAGAATATACAGCTGAAGCTGAGCTGAAACTTTATCAGGTTAGTTGTTCAGTACCCTTCTTTAGATTTTGAGCACTTTTGTTGCTTCAAACGAACAAAATGCACAAATTACAAATGATGGACTATAACTTTAAACAATAAAATATTAAACCAAGTACGTTACAATTCAAGTATTAGCCTAAGTATGTGTGTATAATGTCCAGTGGCCCCCCCCCCCTCGGCTTTCAGAATATACATAGGCTGGCTAGGTAGTGGTACGTCAGTCTGTCTCAGACATATAGGCTTGCTAAAACACCCTACAAAATGGAAATAATAACCTGAAATGTAATGGGGGTGCATTTCAAACAGGAAGTATACTTCACAGACCCTTTAACCTGTGTGTTCCACACATTTCTTGCCCTTTAAGAGATCAGCTTGTCATTACAGCCATCTTTAAGCCAGCAACTGCTATGAGTGGTGAATGATACATATAGGCCAGCTGGTAGTTCCACCAGCCTACTGCAATCTACCCATGGGAATGACAGCAGGCCAACAATCTCACCTGCTGCATCTGGCAATGACTTACCAGCAGTTTCACAATATTTTATCTTTCTTATGGATTGTGACATTTCTGAGTTGGGTAGACTACTAAAAAAGAGAGCAAACTAAGAATGGTCCCCCCCCCAAAAGATCATTGTAGACTTGTGTTGCTAGTAATGAAAGATACAATAAGTAGGGGCCAAAAATATGAAATAAACGTGTAAAAAAAAATCACAATGATGTCCACAAAATAAGAGCATCAAATAGAAAGATGTAGGGTCTGCATGATGTTCTAGGTTGGGTGGGGTAATTGGAAACGTACTGGAAGCCTAAGCTGGATGGTACAGATACAATAAACGTTAAACGAGTCAATTAAGATTATTTTGGTTCATGACACCAACTCACGATGAACTCATTTGCAATGCACAAAACAAGAGACCACCTTAAAACACTCAACACCTTAGAACATTTCATTGGCAATCTACATAGGTACATCAAGGAATTGTTTTCCTTCAGATAATATTTGAGCCGATAAAGCTGGCTGGCTGGCCGACCAACTGACCTCACTTTTATAAGCCCCAAAACATGAAAACCGTAGAATTAAAAACAGATGCCCATAGCAAAAGACAGAGTAAAAACAAACAAAAACAAACAGATTTAGTTTAATTCACATGTAAACTCACTCTGAAGATTTTGTATAAAGCAAAGCCTCCACAGCTATACATGTACTTTATACACATTTATTAGACATTATGTTACGTACTAAAATGAAAAAAAAAGCCATACAAAATTGACCCAACAAGCACATAATATGGGAAAAAGCCCCTTACATTCTCAGATGTAGTTCATGGTCTTTCACAGTGTCTAACTTAAACTCCTTGGCCATGACCTTTTCTAGACAGGGCAGATCTTGTAGCTAGAATCCTACAGCAATTATACAGAGGGTATGTGCTGGAATACAATGCCCTCTAGCTGCACTCTACTCAATCTTGGCTTGACAGACCCCACCCTTGTTGGTTTTTATACATCTCCGTTTTCCCTTTCCTTCTAAAGGAAATCCAATTAGATTGCTGCTTTTCCCCAGTCTGGCTTGGCTTCTGCAATTTGTTCCTGGATCTGCCAAGTCAGATTAGCTTCACAATATCACAAGTCAGCACATCATTGCAACTTTCAACTCTGCTAGTCAGGTCACCCATAACTATGACCATTATAACTTAGACATTTCATTTCCTTTTTGTCCAAATTGACCTTTCGGATTTAAACAAAATCCAAAGACACCATCAACTTTTCCACTCTGAATAAAGAAAACAGAATTATTGTGATTGAAAAGAAGGCAAAGAATTGTCCACATACCTGACATGGGAGGGGGCGAACCCACAGGTGTTGACGGATTAGAAGGAAAACTGCTATTGGTGTGATCGGCTGAATATATCTGTAGGGAAACCCAAGAAATCAATATTCCTCAATTACTATTAAAACTTTTTTTATGCAGACATAAACACATCTCTTTAGAAATTAGAATAAAGTTTGGGAGATACAGAGACACTTCTACCTTTTGTTCAAGTTTCTACCAATCAAGGTGAAGTTGGATCTTTGTATATGAATGTCATTTTAGCATAATTGTCAACACCTACTACTTGTAATGCACATCATAACCAACTAAAGAATTAATGTGACCATGTGCAACACTGACTGTTTGGCACAGTGTTCCTAATAGGGGGTACCTCAGGTCACTGTGGCTACGAATGCTCATTGTTCTTCTCTCTGACTGACTGACCTAGAAATTATACAGTTTCATCATTTCCTATGCCTGTAATGGAGGAAATTATTGCTAAGAAGAAAAGTAATCCTTTGCCATTAATCTTGATAAAGTTGATTTGTGTGAAGTTTATATACTGTCAAGTGTCTACATGAATCATCCAAAGCAAGGCTGAGTATGTAAACTACAACATGTGAAACTGGTAGTTCAACTTCATTTACATACATGTACGTACATTTTTCAACAAGTTAAACTTTAACCACAGTCATATGTTACATGCACTAAAGCATATGTACCCAAGTCAAAGGAAATACCAGAATTTTAATTTGTCTAACTCCCAGATTATGGACATTTGGAAGAGGCCTTGTGTTTGTCTCATTTCTACAAGAAGACAATGCAAAGATTACATAAGGTTGCTATGAAAGAGTTGGCAAATTGTATAAAAAAAAGGTAGGAGTCATTTTTATCCGTTGTGATTTAATATTTATCTTTGGAAAAGGAGTCTGAAATGTAGAGACACTAGAATCCAAACCTACATGTACTTGCACTGAGAATTTCAGTCTTCTGGAAACGCAAAGGGCACCCACTGGGCCCTAATTTCAACTCATACTTGCTCCAGATGTCAAACATTCAAACTTCTCACCTACATTCCCACCCACTTACAAAATCAGTATGAGCTTAAATTGCCGGCAGGATGGGGTCTTGTATGGTACACTTCTTTCAATTTACTCCTCCGTTCAATGCCCTTAAAACGAATAAATTCTTGCTGCATATTCACCAAAAAGATAATCTTATTACAAACATACATGTAAACTCTAGCAACTCTCCACACAAAGTATTACTTCAGAGATCTCAGATTTGACATACCTTTTTCCATTTGAAATAAGTGTACCGTTTCTGTTAATTTCCAAAGTATTTTCTTGCACTCCCTTCATTTGCATTATTTGGTTTAATCCAGAAACTGTCCTTAAAATTATCGTACAATTTAAAACATATACAATGTAGCATCTACATAATGCTACAATTTCCTACAATACCAACAAATTTTAATTTTCATACAGGGTGAAAAATCTTAGATATCAAAACACTAAGTTTAGAACAGTTTTGTGTTCATATATTTCATTTATTTTGATTCATAAAGAGGGTGAGGCTGATAATGCTTATTCCATCCTGGTAATGTGATTGTGGCAAATCGCTGGCCCTGGGAACTGTAACATTTTTATGTCTACCTCTTTAAAAATTGACCGGTATTTCACTGAAGCTATGTTCAAACGTTCTCACTCTTGTATGCCCTGGCTTTTGAACAAAAAATGCTGAAGTGTCTAAAGCTTATTTCAAGCCTTACAATCAGAGCTCGCTTGCAAGATACATATTACCATAGAAAATACATACATTGCTGACTGGTACGAAGATATCATATTTGCACTCGTAATACAAATGTGTCGTTTCGTCAATTTTGTTAAAATTAAATATAATATGTGGTTTTGAGGGAAAAATTCATTAACATCAGATTTTTTGGAAGGAAATTTGACAAAATCAGAAATCCAATTAAAATAAGAAAAGTTGCATATCTGCTTGCATCATGTGAAGTTCAGCTTCTATGCATGTGTACTTCAGCATGTTTGAATAAACTATGTGTAGGTTTACTTGATTTACATCAAGATTTTAAATCAACAGAGAATAATATTAAAAACAAAAATCATCCAACATGAATCACTCAAGAAAGATCTTTATTTGTTTTTGTTTGGGTCATTTTTTTGTTTAATTAAAACTTTTTTTCCATTTTAAACCAGTAGCATAAAGGTCTAATTTGAGATTGAATTTCATGAAGCTGGTCCGTGTCATGCAATCAATTCATTTGAAAGTATCAACATTCTCAATACAACTAAGTGTTACTATATGGTTAGAGTTACTACCTTTTGTACATGTACATGTATAACCTTCGCAGCAAAATACATGTACATGTACATGTATGTACATGCGTGAAAACGTAAGGTGCACACGCACAATGAATGAATCAGAACTCCTACTGTTATTGGAAAAAAATTCATCAAATATCACCTTGCAAATGATTGAATGCCTGATGTGAGTTTTACAATTTCATAATATTTTTCGAGATAATATTGCTTAAATTAATATAAATGTATGATGTACATGTAGGCACCCAAACAATTCCAAACAAAGTTTAAGAATATTTGCTTATCCCATTAGGATAGAACTCAACAAAGGCAGACTTTTTGTAAAAAAAATAAAACCAATCATAAATGTTGTCTTCAACTGTAAAAACTAGAACAGAGCAGGCAGGTCAGGCACCTTATATTGGTGTATGGTGTGACCATGGTGTGACCGACCCCAATGCCAATACACTGTTGCTTGCTGGGGTGGGGACTACAACATTTCTGTCTTTATTTAGCTCACACTTGAGTTGATGATGGAAAGAAAACAGCTCACAGAGGAATAAAGTCTTCAACATGATATCCAGGGCCATTAACCGTGGTTCCTTGATATAAAAAAGGTGGCAACATTGATAACCATTGGTAACATTTACATAATTTTAATATACATGTAGGAAAATGGTCTTATTGGTGGAAATATAAGGCTAAAATAAAAGCTTGAGAAAAATACACTGTATTATTGTGCAAAACACCCAGTCCGTCACTTCCTTTAATTAAAAAGCTATGTTTTAAAATACATGTAACTAGTTTTAACCGTAAAGCACCTATGATTTTTTATGACTGAAAAACATATTTTCAACTTTTTAATAAAATGGAACCAGGCATATTTCTGAATGCAAACATAACATATGACCTTTCATGGCATGGGTTAGTGTAAGAGTAATGACATGCAACATATGGCGAACTACAGTCAGTCAAGTATTGGTTATTTGTAGTACAAACCACAACTCTTCCCCATGTGATCTGCAAACATAAACATGAAATAAAACTGTTTTACCCCCAAAGATTAGTGTTCACGCAGATACTTTGATACTGACCAAGCATTACAACTGAACAACTTCTATGACATGTATGATGTTGACTTCTTGTGGTCCACTAAGTATTTTCTCCACTCCAGTGTTTGCGTCAACAAGTAGTTAAGTACTTTACAACCACAAATGCTGATTTACGAAAATCAACGAAAGGGATTTTTGCACTGATTTACAATACTTCCTTTAGTTTTAGTGATAAATTGACCAAATCGCATCATGGTACGTGATTAGGTGCACAAAGGTATGGAATTAAAAAAAAAAATTATTTTGCATTTTTAATTTACGTGGGATTGAATTAAAAAACACATCAACAATTCATAATGAAAAAAAACCCCATGTGATATTACAAAAATACCGACGTAGATGATGGGTTAGAAACATATTCCAAACATTTGCTTCTTGAACTGTTAAAGCACACTCTCTTTGGGAAACGAATGACAGCAGAACAGTTTTTTGATAACACACTAATGAATGTACAATTCTCCTTTTTTTCCCCCAAATGCAGGTTGCAATTTTAGAACTATAACATTTGAAAGGAAGAACTAGAAGACATAAAACTTGCAGTTGCAATGACAAGATTTAGAGTTCAGTCAAAATGATCTTTGTCAAAGTCAAGAATGACTGTAGTGGCTGATCTTACCCATGGATATCTTGGATGGCTAAAGCTGGGTACAAACATTGTTGGCTGTGAGTGCGAATGGTGATGCTGATATGCTGCAGCAGCAGCTGCAGATGCAGTCATACCAGGCACGGTGTATCCACCCTCAGCCTGCTGCATGTGGGCATGGGCAGGCCTATACATCCAAGCAGATAACAAGACACCAATACGAGCAATAATCAACAAGACCACCAAGGCGTTGCTGTCTTCAAAGTTGCTGAATCCAACTTGTTAATACTAAGCCTATTGCACAGAGCAATCTCAGTACAAACTCCCTCGTGATCAATGATTGGCAATTGTGCTTGTAGACCATACAATTCAACAAATCCTATGAAGTATGATGAGTCATATGGCCATCCATCCACTTCCAGACTTCAGTCTTCATCCAGTGCATGAGTGGACTGAACTTGTTGCTGAGATGCTGTTTTCTGTGCAGAATTCATGCTGAGATTAAGCCAGTCAACAGTTGAAAGTTAGTGGTTTGACCTCCAGCTCCAACAAATCAGTCCTTTGGAATCTGGAAGTGATCAGTTGGAGTGCTTGGGATTATGTAATCACTGTAATGATAAACTCCTGGAGACTGCAAGATGGACAGAACCCAAGCACTTTGTGGCTGTCTGTTATTTCCCCTCAATGCCAGTCAACTGAAACAAACCTCAAGAAGCACTGAGAGTAGATGTGGTCTTGCAATCATGCAATAATGTCATGTATGAACAAGTACAAGCACCAAACTCTACAATTTCAGCAACATACATGTAGACACACTCCAAGAGTTAGATACCAGTAGTCACTTGCTCTGACCAATAACTTTTACATTACTGTCACATGGAAGTGTGCAAAGCCTACGGGAACCAAATAAAAACAATATGTAGAGCAACCTAGTGGTATAAAGATATACCAGACCTTATGACCAGACCAATGCTGTTATAAATCAAGCTCTTCTCAGTACTGAACATACCACCTCTGAAACTGGTAAAATGAATGCAACAACACAATGAGTACAGCCTACTATACCAAAGGGAGGGCTAA